ATGGAGGTAAAACTGAGAAGAGAAATATTTTTATGCCCTCACTTTTATCTAGCCAAATGAATGAATAAAATAATTTTTTAATGGCAGGAAAAAAACCCAAAAACATCAAGAGAATGCTTTCCTTCAAGGTATTTCCTTCATTTTCATGCTTTCCTTAAACTGGGATGGACAAGAAATAGCTCTTGAGTGCTGTAAGTAGGGCAATCACTGTTCTCATGCCCAGACCACATTCCCCACTGTGGGAAGCAGGATCCCAGCAGGGCTTGCATATATGCACTCTCTCTAGGTCTCATGGAGGTTTCTTTCTTTCCTCCCTGAAAACAGTCTCATTTCTCATTGGAGTGGGGGCACACTGGGAAGCAATTACTATAATTTTCTTTTGAATTGCTCCCAAGGATTTCCTCTTCCCTTGGTTCTTCATGTTATGTCTTAAATGTATCTTCAAGTTCTAAGAGAAATTCAAGTTTTGCTATATAGTCATATGTCACAGGAGACCAATGGTTTATGTATTAAACTGCCTCCAGACACATACAGCTGGTGTGTATTTTAGGACTGCTTTTTGAGAGAGTCTACAAAGTGAGGATTATTATCTGCCATGATGTCATTTCACAAGGAGGATGAAGAGGAGGAGGATGAAGAGAATGCTTCCCACAAGTCCTAAGCACCTCATAGAATTTTTGACAGTACATGTGAGTTGAAATATGCCAGATGTCACATTTCAGAACTGGTGTTTTAACCATTAGTTCTTCTATTAAAAATAGCTTCCTCTTTAAGAACAAGCACAATTATATATATTTTTTTTAGCCACACAAATAAAAATGTATAATTTGACCATTAACATTCCTTCATTCTTCACTTTTTTAAAGGACTAAGTTACGTGCTCAGCCCTCAAGACACACAGGACTCAGATCCAAGCTCATTGCTTCATAGACAGAACTAACTTAATCTAAGTGGTGACCAAAACACTTTGACTTTTGGCCTAAACACAGTGGTGTTTGAATGATCTTTTTTCACCTCATTCGTCTAGAAATCACAGTCATTGAAACAATTTCTGATCTCTCACAAAATCAGCAAGTTATAGTATTTTCTTGCATTTCACAAAATTTCTGCATGAAATGATACAATGTGAGCATTAACTCTTTTCTTGGCATTTAACTGGATGCACTTTCACACACGCAAGCCTTCGTATTATTTGAAGGTCAGATTTAAATAGAAAAGGCAAACGTGTAGCAAAAAGATTGCAGTAAGCCAGAATCTCCTTCTGAACCACTGTATCTTAAAAATATATTGTCAGTCTTGCCAAGACAAAATCTTCTTGGACACTTTATCATGTGGCCAGTGGGAAGGAGATGCTACACTGGGTTGTTTAGCTATAAATTAATTATGTGAATTTAATAGTCAAATATTCACTCAGGATGAAAAGAAATGTTCTCCTGGACATTAGTGGATAATGTGCATATAATTTCATCTATCTGTCTTTTAATTAGACACATATAAATAAGGTGGATGTTTCAAGGTACTCTATAATCAGGTTACCTAAACACTAGTTCTTTCCAGGATCATAATTTGCAATTATGTGCGATAGCTACAGATTGTTAATTGCTACTGTTTCTTCTTCTATTATTATTATTATTATTATTATTATTATTATTATTATTATTATTACTATTATTATAATAATCATCATCATCATTATCATTACCATCATCATCATTATCATTTAATGATCAGACAATATGCCCCATTGCAATTTTGCATGCATGTCTGGGAAAAAAAGTAGATGACATAAATTGCATGCATAATCTCAGGAGACAATCATTTTAAATCTTAATTGGCTGCCTTTTAAATATCATTTAAGGTCTCGTTTTCTCTGCCTCTCTCTCTCTAGTTAAGAAGGTGTTGTGTCAAAGTCTATTACCTTGCTGGACGTCTCGCCTCTAAGTTTTTTAAAAAAATAGAACCATCAGCAGAGGTTTGAGAGGTCGATAAAGCTTTTAGATTTGGAGATGTTTTCAGGGAGCCCATTTCCTGCGGCTAAGAGTTGTTAATGGAGCTTAAGGAATTATCTTATGACTCGGGCTGGGAGAGTCGTATATTTCTTTGCTCCTGTTCCCTTGTCGAGGCTGAATATGCTCCTGTCAAACTCGCTTAATGAAAAGTAACGCGTCGCTGATTACAGTTTTATTTGGGCTCTATGTAAAAAGCACTGTTAATTTAGCATCCCCTCCTTTGTGTGTTTGAATTTGCCATGGCTGAATGATTTAGTCTCTCAGTTTCAAGACGTTTCTCTATGATTTTTTCCCTCCTCCTTCTTTCTCAGTCTGCCTTTATATTTCTGCTTTGTACAGACATAGGAGCTGTACAGCTTTCCCTTTCAGCCCTGCAGCTTCCTCTAAAGCAGCATAACCTGATCTTTGACTTGTGCTATTGAATCAAAGGGCAAAATTAATTTCTCACACTCTTTTGTTCATATAAAAAAAATCAAAACAACCAAACTACAAGAACCCCAACCCTTTTGAAAGACGTCTGCTGTTCATGGCTGATCTAAGTCATAAGGTTTGTGTATTAAAGCAAGAAACTTTTTGCCCTCCTCCTTAACTGACACGGTCTCCTCTCAGGATGGAGAATGTTTTGGTGTGAGCACACACAGATTTACCAGACCCGAGATACAGCCTGTTCCTTGGTCTGGAGAGCACTGCTCTTGGTACACAGCAGTCATAAACTTACTCAAACTTGTTTTGTAACAATAATAACATGAAAATGAAGGGGTAAAGTGTTAATCCGCTTTTCTTTGGGCTTCTGGTATTTCAGTGCTCCTGTGTTTTGCGCAGTGTTATCACCTTCATTTTAAGTCTGGAGGAGAGAAGGAGCGGGGGGAGAGGGAGAGTGTTGCCTCCCAAACAACGGGATGTCCGAACTGAATCCTGGACCTAGCCGAAGCCGGCCAGCAATGACTTGTGAGATGACTTTTATGGCTTGCGGGATCACCCGCTGAGAGCCAGCCCAGGGAGGCCGGTGGGGGCCGACGCTCCTCAAACTTAGGGAGCTTTTCAGGCTGAGAGAGATTTTTGGCTGCTGAGTGGACGAGACCTCTCCTTGCACGCAGACACACAGAATCCACACACACACACTCGGCTGTCGCTATGTTAGGAGAAAAAATGGAGTCCCCTTCCATTCTACAGAGCCTCTGTCGCATGGAAACCGAAGCCCACCGGGAGCCCCCGTGTCCCCTCCAGTCCCTGCACATCCAGTAAGGCTGGTGCACACAAACCTCGCCGCTTTAACATCACCCTCTCAGCACTCTGAGGGGTTTATGCCCCATCCCGCTTGACTCTATCAGTGGTTTGAGGGCAGTCCAAACACTCGCCTTTCTCCCTTTCCCTCTCCCTCGCCTCCTTCATCCCCGTCTCTTTAGTTTGGCTGAAAATAATTTGCTTTGTCTAAAGGGTTTCAGAGGCAAAGCTCGCCGGCCGCCCCGGCTGCATTAAAATTCCTGCCGGCCCAGCCTTTAGCTCAGATCGCGGCTCCCCCGAGACTCCACTTTCGCTATTACTGTCAAGTACCCTTGACTCTTTATTTTTGCCCTTTTATCTATTACAACTAATTCGAGTTCTTTTGCCCTTTTCAGTTTAAGACGTAGGCTTTCTGTAAAGCCTCCCCCTGCCACCGAGCTCTCCGGGTGCAGAGCCTTTAGAAATTGAGGGGTTTACTGTCAAAATGAAAATTTCACTTCAAATTATCTCGGCTGATGCACGTTTTCCAGGCCGGGGGCTCCTGTCTGAGCCTTTTGACAGCCAGATCAGCAGAGGGGTTCAGTGATCTCGATAATATCATCCAAGAGAGCGAAAGTCAATACAATGACAGGGAATATGACTGGATACAATCCAATTACGGCTGCTCGCAGAGAGGGGAAGGGCTTGATCTGATCTCCGCACCTGGATTCTTTTATTCAGTCCTTGCACTAACAGGTCTCGCTAGAAACTTCGCAGGCTGGAGTATGTTATATTTCAGCTGAGTGTTTTGTTTTCGGCTGTTGCGTTTATAGTTGCCTTTGTATATTTCCCCCCTTTATTGTATTCTTATTTATTTATTGTGAAGGGGGGTGGACCGGCGAGGAGCCGCTGGGTGGGATGGGCTGGAATGCTGGGAGGCAAGGAAGGCTCTTCTTGTGCCGGTGTCAGTTTGGTCCTTCGGGTGCTCTTGGGTCTTCGCCGCGCCGGGCGCCGAGGCTCAGGGGTTTTAGGCCGGCCCGGGTAAGCCGGGATCTATTATTGCCTCGTAGTTTCTTTACCAGCAGGTCTCCCTTGTCTCTCGGTCCGGGGATCAGTAAAGTTTGTTCCCATTCTGGGGAAGGAAATTAAATCTTTTAGGCGCCTGTTATCTAAGTGGTAAATTGGCTGCGAGTGCTCCTGAATCACACGTCGAGAGCGCTCTTCCTCCCTCTCTCTTTTTGTTGGCTGCACTCTATTTAATGTCAAAACGGTAAAGCATCTGTACTGAAGTGCTGAAATATTCATGGCGGATCAGCGATTCTCCGCACTGGCAGAGGAGCTGGAAAGCTAAAACGGTTCTTTAAAAGATCAAATTTTCCATGTGAATCAATTGCTCCGCGCACGGCGGAGGCGACGCCGCGGCAGAGCCCGGCCCTTGGGGGCCGACCCCCGCCCGCCCGCAGCTCGGGAAGGAGGGGAGGGGGTAGGGGGGGATGCTCTTGCCCCGCCGGGCCTCGGCGGGCAGCCGGAACCCCTGCTGTCGGCCCGGGAGGCGGCGAGGGCCCGGCGCTGCCCCGCGGAGGCACGGCCGGCGCGGAGCGCAGCCCAGCATCCCTCCTGCGCGCAGCGTGCCTCCGTCCGCAGCGCCGCGGCAGCGCTGCGCTGAGCCTCTCTTCCCCATTCCCGGCAGCCTGTTGACAGTCCTTGGAATTACCGGGATCGGCTCCGAGGGGGAATTTGAAACATAGAAGTTGTTTGTTGCCCAATGCAAAACGCCACCACTTGTGTTACCTCTGAAACAGACAATTTATTGGAGTGAGCATACCTTTTAACATTTTTTTTTTTGTCAAGATAAATTTGTGCAGTAGGTGTAAACTTAGTAGAAGTGCTGTTTGTGAATTATATGCTAACAAGGAAATCAGGAGGAAAAACTCTCGAAAAGTCTTTACAACTAATGTCGGCATGCCTTAAATTAAATCTGAATTAAAATTTCCCGTTTGTAAACTTTCGGATGTAAACTTTTAAAGTAGGTCTACACTATAGTACGTGCTTTTTGGACACGGAATTAAATAACTTTCACGACATTGGACATTGATCCCTTAAAGTCGCAGCCAGGAGAAAATGTTCAGAACAGCAATGAGCAAAGTCTTTCCGTTGAACTGAGCAAACTGAATAAATCCTCGTTTATGTTGTTTGTTAAAAAAAAAAAAAAAGAAGAAGAAGAAAAAGTTTTATATTTAAATTTAAACTCTCGCAAGTCTCTTTTCAGTGTAGCTGACTCTTCAAGCGTTAGAAAGTCTTTTGCCCCTCGGCGGGCCTGTTAGGAACAAAACATTTTGCTTCCTGATTTGGGAAACGCCAGAAACTCTTTGTTTGAGTCATGGTGGGGCAGGTTTGAGAGCTGCCCCTTGAGCACGTTGGCGCCGTTCCCCACCGCGCGTCCCAAGGCGCCCGTTTCCAGAATGGCTCCTTTGGTGGTAGCCCAGGAAACTGTTGTGTTGCTCAGGGCTTGATTTAAAGTACTGTGCCTGAACAGGGGGTCGTGAAACACCCCGTCCACCCAGTTCCTGAGGTTGGTGACCGGCGAGTCCTGGTGCCTGTCCATGACGCTGACCGGGGCGGGAGCGGCGGCGGCGGCCGAGCCCCCCGGTCGTTTCAGCATGCAGGAGGGGTACTCGGCCTGGTTGAGGGAGGTGGCAGTGTGCGCCAGGGACCAAATCCTGGGCTTCGCCTCCAGCAGCTGCTGCCCCTGCTGGAAGCACATCTTGGACTCGCAGCCGCGCTGCCGAGCGCCCAGCGGATCGGGGCCGCACTCCTCCGCCGCCGTCTTCAGGCAGCTCCGCGCCCGCTCTGCCACCGCCTCCTCCTCCTCCTCCTCCTCCCTGGCGGCGGCCGGCGGCGGCATCTTGGCGGGGAGCTCGGCGGCCCGCGGCGGGTGGCTGCCGCCCGGGAGCGGGAGCGGGAGCGGGTGCGGGTGCGGGAGAGGGTGTGGGAAGGGCCGCCTCAGCTCGCACTCCGAGCTCTCCGACTCGGCGGCGTCCAAGTCCTCCAGGTCGCTGAGCTCCAGTTCCTTCTCCTCCTTGCCCGTGGGTTCTGCGGGGCGGGGGCGGGGGAAAGGACAGCAAAAACAAGACACACGGTCACTGTCGGGGCCGCACTGCCCCGCGGCCGCCCCCACCAGCGAGGCCCGCGGCCGCCCCCACCAGCGAGGCCCGCCCCGGGGGCGAGCTGCCGGCCGAGCCCCCGCGGCCGCACCGCTAAGTGCCTGGTTTTAGCAGGGTACCCTCGGCTTTCCCGCTCTTCATCGCCTCTTCCTGCGAACCCTCCTCCTCCTCCTCCTCCTCTTCCTCATAGGGCCGCTTCTCGTCAGAGCACTTGTTCCGCGGGGGCCAGGTCATCTTGTTCTCCTTCTTGAGCCGCCGGCGGGCGTTGGCGAACCAGGTGGAGACCTGGGTGAGGGTCATCTTGGTGATGATGGCCAGCATGATCTTCTCGCCCTTGGTGGGGTAGGGGTTCTTGCGGTGCTCCTGCAGCCAGGCCTTCAGCGTGCTGGTCGTCTCTCGGGTGGCGTTTTTCCTCCGCGTCCCGCCGTCCATCGTCCCGTACCTGCAGGCACAGGGATGTGACTACTCGCTCTCACCCCCCCGCGCACCTGCCCGACGCGGGGTCCAGAGCTCCGGCCCCGGCGGCTTGCCTGCGGCACCCCCCGGAGCGCAGCTGGACCGCAGAGGGGGGAGATGGATGAGGACAGCTCGGTTTTAAGAGGGATGAGGACAGCTAAGCTTTATGAGGGAGACCAGCCTAGAGAATTCTGGCCGAGGAAGGAAAGCAAGAAGGAAGGGCTCAGCCAGCAGTAGCAGCGGGCAGTGCAAATTTCTGCTTTGCCTTGGCGGTGGTGGCAGAAACAGGGAAGGAATCGTCTGCTTTTATTTGCAGTAAAGTCAATGTCAACATTTTGGGCAGCAGGAAAATCCTAGCAGCTTGTAGACTCACAGAAATACTACTTTCCTCTCGTTTTATTAGTTCTCCCCAAACAAAATTCATCGGGGTGACCCCAGGGTGTAAGTGTTAATAGAAATATATTTCCTCTTACTCCTTTTATTAGTAATCTCCTCTACCCTTTTGTTCTTGAAATTGTAGGACCCTAACGCAGATGACACTGGGCTGCGACTGAATATTTAATGCACATCCTCCAGGAAAGGTCACTGGCGCCCAATGGGCCTCAGAGCTGGGAGCGGCGTGTAAGGGGTTTTGCGCTGGTTTAAAACTGATAAATATACACGGGATGCCCAAGCCTGACTCCGCGCAGGGAAAGATAATTACCGCCCCGGATAAGAGGGGTTGCCCCCGCGCTATCGCCCGCCCGGGGGGCGGAGGACCCTGTGTCGGTGTGGGAAAGGGGAGGCGACATGGCTGAGGCCGGGAGATGCTGAGAGGCGAGGAGGCAGGTTGGCGGGGCTGGCGGGGCGGGGCAGGGAGGCGATGGCGGGGCGGGGGTGGCGGGGCTGGAGGGCAGCGAGCGGGGCCGGGCCGGGGACGGCGCTTACCTGTCGTACTGGTACTGGCTGAGGGTGTGATCGTAGGGGTAGTAGGCAGCCGCCGGGGCGATGCCCGCATGCGCAGAGCCGCTCCCGTCTTTCGCCTCCAAACTGTTCTGCAAGAGACGCCGCCCGCCGCCCTCAGCCCCCGCCGCCGGGAGACCCGGCCCCGCCGGGAGAGCCGGCCCCCGCCCGGCACCGCCGGGAGACCCGGCCCCGCCGGGAGACCCGGCCCCCGCCCGGCCCCGCCGGGAGACCCGGCCCCCGCCCGGCCCCGCCGGGAGAGCCCGGCCCCCGCCCGGCACCGCCGCCCGGCTCCCGCCCCGCGCCCCGGAGCGGCGCGACGGACCTTCCCGGGGCCCCTCGGCCGCCACATTAATAGGGACATTAACTCGCGCTGTTACGGTGCAGGGGGGAAAAATAGAGGGGGAAAAAAAAAAAAAAAGAAAGAAAGAAAGAAAAAGAAAAAAGGCCGTGTGGGAAGACCGCATCGGTTTTTTTTTTTTGGTTTTTTTTTTTTGCAAGCCTAGGTCTGGGTCGTCCTAAACCGCCCGCCCGGACGGGCCCTCCGCACTCGGCTGCCAGCTCGTCAGGCGCGACTTTTAATTGCGTTACCGTGAGGAGCGAGCGGCGGGCTGGAACAGCTGCTGACCGCGGGGCTGGACGCGGGGAGCGCCGTGCGGCACGGCGGGGCGGAGGGGAAGCGCCCGGGGCTGCCCCCGCCCGGGGAGGGGGTCCCGCCGAGCGGCCTCCGCCCCCGGGCCGCGGGGGGAGCGCGGGCCGGCGGGAGGGAGGGAGCGAGCATCCCCGGGGCGCCTTACCAAGGAGTAGAAGGCGGGAGCCTCGGTACCGTAGGTCACGTAGTTTCCATAGCCCTGGGGCCCGGCGTAGGGTCCGCCGTAGACCCCCAGGGCGGCGGCGGAGTTGAGCTCGTGGCGAGCGGTGGCGAGCAGGCGGCTCTCGTACACCGGGCAGTACACGGGGGTCTGGGCGGAGGCGGCCGCCCCCGTCTCAGCCAGCGTCCGGCTGCTGGACTCGCAGCAGGTCGTCAGGGAGTTGGTGCTCATCAGGAACTGGAGGGAAAGAGAGCGGCGCTGAGGGCAGGGTGGGGGGAACTTCCCAAAGTGTAACCAAGTTTGGGTTCGGTTGCTTTTAGATCGTGCGGGTTTGGTGGGCTTTTGTTTGGGTTTGGGTTTGGTTTGGGGTGGGTTTTTTCTTCAAATCAGGTCGTAGCTTTGGGGTGTCGCCTGCCCTCCTCCCTTCCCTGCCGTATTTTACTTCAGTCGTGGTAGAAACGCTCCGGAGAAGCGCAGAGATGAAAGTATTTCCTCAGTTTTTTTTAGAACGACTCCACAACAACAACCACCAAACGCCCCGTGACTGTGGGTGTTTAATCCTCTATAATACATTCCTCAGGCCCTCTGCATCTAAAAGCTAACTTTTCCTGGGGTGTTTTCACAGGACTGGGGTTTCCACCGTTTTCTCCTCTCGCAGCACAATGATTCCCATCTGCGTTTTTAAACCCTTTTTTTCAAAGTCATTCATGCATATTTATTTTGACTGCAGATTTGTAGCAGCCACGCACGCATCTGTTATTAACCTGCTAGTTTAGAATATCCCATTCTGTTTCTACGGGTCGGACCTCCGTACATCCATGTTTAATTGATAAACTGTGAATTTAATCGTGAAAGAGAAAAAAAAAAGGGGGGGGGGAGGGATGCGGGTGGGGGTTGGGGATCTCTAGATCCCCTTCTCACCTCTCTCATCTCTGTAATCATCTCCCACGCGTCTTTATCACCCCCAAACACCCCAAATCCCGCGTGTTTCATCCCATTTTAAAACTGGTGCCCAACACAGAACTTGGGCGTCTTGGAAAGCGGTGGGGTGCTTTGCCGCTACTGCGTGCCGGGAGAGGATCGCTGCCGCCCTTATCCCGGACGGAAGGCATCGGTAAGGACTGAAATTCAATCAAGCAACGTTGGTAGGCAAAAAGTCTTACCTGGGGTGCAGAGGAGTAAGGGTAGCCAAACTGAGGATAGGACATGGTACAGAGGCTCCCAGTTATCTAGAAACAAGGCGAGGCGTCTGATCTGCACGCTATTGCAGCCTGGCTCTGTTCTGTTGCACCAATTGATTGGTAACCACAGGTCCCTAGATGCTTATAGGACGAAGCAGAAAACCACATTTAATTTATTTACATGAAAACTTAAACTTTTTTTTTTTTCCTTTTAAATATGTACGGCGATTTTAGCACTTTCCCCGCTACAGCTACGACACAGAAATAATTGTTACATGTAGGCTCCAAGGCTGGCAAAAATAAATACTTTGCACCCACGGAAAAATAAAAGGTGGGAAGAAGAAAAGTGATACAAATGCATCAGCTCACAAGCACGTTGTTTTAAAAGAGCCGACCCTCTGACGTCACGCAAAACCTACTCAAATTAACTTGCCTGTAAATTTAACACTCATTTTCGGGAATCTTTCCCCTGGCATGGCAAATAGACTCTCCAGCATCGCCTTTAGCCTGCCTAACAGGGGAGAAAAGTTTGGGAAGCTCTTCGGTAGCAGCAACGCCTGCTTGCAACACATATATTTCTGGGGGCAAGGGAAGGAAATGAATGTTTTTAATCTGAAGGATCAATGTTGTATCAGCTATTTTCCCCACCTTCCTTAGTCACTGAAAGGCTAGTAAGCACTTTTAATTAGAAATTAATTAATGAGCAGCTGCTTCTTCCCACCCCACAGTAATAATTAGTCTCAATTACAAACAAGACATATGAAGGGACACACGACTGAGTCTTCATTTAAGATTTAATCAACAGTTAAAATTAGCGCTAACGCTGACAATAAAGCACATAATAAGCAATCCTCCTTTTCTTTTTGGCTTTTATTCCAGGCGTGTGATTACAGGTAGAAAACCCTACAAACGTCTTCCGGGGAATGATGGAAAAGATGTGACTTTTCACGTTAAAAAGACTTTGATCCCATCTCTAACTTCCAACACCCCCTTCTACCCGACCCATCCCACCGCTGCCATCAGCCTCCAGACCCTCTGGGGGTCTGGGACCCCCCCCACACAAGCAGGCAGCAATCCCCCCCCTTGCTGCAGGCTCGGAGGGAACGGGCCGTGGGGGGAAGATGCTGGCAGCCCCAGCAGCTCTCCCCCGACGGCCGGTACCGCCGGGGCAGGGCAAGCAGGCAGCCCCCGGCTGGACGGAGGGAGCGGAGGAGTCAGCTCCGAGGCTGAAACTGGGCTGCTGGTGCAGTCGAACGCTGCTCCATGGTGTGCAGACTTGCTCAGAGAGATTCCTGGGTTCAGACATGTGAATAGCCCCAGGGTCACACTCTAATTAATGATGATATTCTCTTCTTCTCCCCAGCTGGAAGACTGCCTCCCAGAAACGAATCTGCCCACACTGACAGCTCGATTGAGGGTGATTGATGACTATCTGGAGACCACAGTACACATAATATAATATCTGCTGCGTAATTGCTTTAATTTACAGATGAAAATACTAGTCCTCAGATCGAGTTAGACTACAATGAGAGGCGTTTTATGGCGCTTTAGAGTGTTTGCAAATAAAAGATATCAGATACAGTACATGCAAATTATCCTGACAGCTCAGTATCTATAGCCGGGAGAAACGTATAAAGAAAGGGAATCAAATGACATAAATAATCGGTTTGGAATTCTGTATTGATTTTTGGATGGGAAGAAAGTGCTTTTCCTTTCCTCACCTGAAATGCGAATTTGTTTTTCTTTCTGAGAATATTAATAACTTTGCCATTGGGTTTCTTTTTTAGAAGGGCTTCTCTATTCCTCCTCCTGCATTATACCCCGGTGCTGCCAAGGTATAATAATACTTTTAGCGACTCTTTACCAGCAGCTTCCTTCTGTGCGGAGGGCTGACGGACTATTGCATTGTTTGGGAAGGAAAGACACCCAGTGTTTACACAATGGTCTTCACGCAGTGTTCCGTGCTTCTCCCTCTGCCTCCTGTGCCCATTGCGCTGGGGGATGTTTGTTTAAGCTTCGGAATAAAACTCACCGGTGCTAGGGAAGAAAATAGTTGCACTTATCTCAAGAGCGGCTCGGTGTAAAGCACTATAATTAGCTGGGAGTGCTGGAGAACTGCCTGAAGAAGTCCTCCCAGTTTTCCAGGCTACAATTTGGGAAATGTCCTGGAGTTGCTGGTTTTTTTTGGTGGTTTTTTTTTTTTTGGTTTTTTTTTTTTTTTTCCCACTGCAGATGTCAACTCCGCAGTGGCCCACAGTGCACTACAGGTTTTGATATTTAGATGAGTCTATTAAACTTTAAAATACAAGAGAAATTCAATATTTATAGTCCTTGTCTATTTATATATCACAGTTGTCTTTCACTGTGCAATGCAAATACTCTGATGCCCATTTTCACACTGAACTTTAGTGTATTAATCATGATAATTATTTGTCATTTTTCTTTGCAGTCTGCCTGCTCTATTACTTTACCCCCGGTCAGCTTTGTGTCAGTTCCAATCTGTATTCCCTAGAAAGCAGTCATTAAAAAAAAACCCCACCAAAATAAACAAACAAAAAGGAAAAGCGACAAAAAAACTTAATAACCTTAAACGCTGAAAGCTGACATTACTTCCTCCCCCACTGCTGATGTCTTGTTTCACTTACAGTCTACTAATAATGGCCCTTTGTTGATAAGAAACTCAACACAATTATATTTCATCTTAAATTTTGGGTGCCAGAGCACAAACATGCATTAAGCCCCACAATGATTTAAAATAACCATTGTGGTTCTTGCACATAAACAAGGTAACACTGTTCAAATCCAAGCAAAGGCGCTTAATGCTGTGGGCTATATCCTTAAGCATTTGGAAAATGCAAGTCTTTGCTGTGCAATAAAAATTGATCCTCATCAAAGCCCCTTTCCTGTACAATGCAGTTAACAGCTTTCAAGAAAGAAACACACACCACTTTCTCCAAAGTTTGAGCACGGAAACCCACCACGATCAATAGGAAAGGCTGGAGAGTTCCCTTCTAGTCAGAACCAGCCTGCACACTCAGGCAAGCAGGTATTTCTCATCCAAAGCCCATTCGGGTCTCTCTCCCAGGGTTATGAGCTGTTCCTCTGAGTACCTGGAGCCAATGCTCATACAAGTTTTATTGTAAAAACATGGAATGAGAATGAAAGAGTGTGATGCTGGAACAGGCCACAGCAGGTAAAACAGAAACCTCTTCAGGACTCAGGCTTTGATGGACGTCTTCAGGGACATGATCTAGAGGCAGTTAATGCAGCTACACTTACTATCTGCATTTTCATCGCCTTCTCTTTTGGAGGGGTTATTGCCACTCCTGGAAATATTTCAGCAACGGAATTTGCTTATGGGCTAAACAGACTTTAGCGAGATCTTCTCAGTTAAGTTTGCTTTGTTTTCATGTTACAGACTTAAAGCAACATTGACACTGCCTGACAAATGCTGTGAAGCTCTACATGTTGCCCATTTGGAAGCTGACTTGGAACCACAAGCTGCCTACAACATTTTCAAGAAGGTTAGCTCCCACAAACTTGCTATTGGCAGTAAATATGATTGGGTTTTTTTCCTGAGCCAATTTGAGATGTAACTGCACCTCCTGCACTTGGAATCAAGGGACAGGGAGATGATGCCTCCAACCTGCACAAACCCATGCCATGGCTTGGGATTGGCACAGCCATGATGACCAAAAGAACAGTTGCATAAGAAGGCACTGCTAATTAATTTACTCAGTTTACAACTACATGTAAAATCAGTCTGTTCAAAGCTATCCATTTGAATGCTTTCATTTTGTAAGTCTTCAATCCTCTTGGCAAACAATCTAGATTAAAGCAGAAAGGCCTCACATGCTCATTCTGTTGTTTGTATTTATTAACTTTTCACACTTAAGAACTAGAGCCCGCATTTTCTATCTCTCTCTCTCTGCCTCTCTCTTTTTCTCTCTGTCTCTTGCATGCACACCTACACACACACACAAAACTTTTCAACAAGAGAAGTAAATGCTGCGACCTGAGCAGCTGCTCTATGGCTATAGATGGACCTTACAACATGCCCACATTTACCTGCTCTGTGCACAGCATTGCAACTACACCTTCACTAGCAAAGCAAAGATTGTATAAGACTTTCTTTCTCAGCCCCTGTACCCCCAGTGCTGCAGACCCACGGGCATTTAGACGCCACCACCTTTGAGCTTTCTGGCAGCCAACAGCTTCAACTTACTTCCCTGAGAAGGTAAAACTTTCCTGTTTGCAAGGTCAAATTCTGTTTTTTAAAGTTCGCCTTAAAATCCAGAAAGTTGGACTCAGTACCTTACCTTAGTGCTCGCTGAATATCATATCCACACCCCCTTCCCAAGAAATAACACACACGTATGTTAAAATACATTTACCCTCTGTCCTAGGTAAAGATTGCACAAAGCCAAATGATTCATCACGGATAGTTTCTCTTCCCTCCAGCAGTTCGTTTTCAGCTGCCTTGCTGCTAAAGCAGGCTCCGAAGGAGAAGGGGGGCGGAGGGGGGGGTAAGCCCCACCGCTCCCCTCCACCCCCCGCTTCCACAGAGACACACACACACACACACACACACACACTCTCTCTCTCTTTCTCTCTCTCTCTCTCACAGGCATCACCACCAAAGGAAGAAATTTTTTACCTGGGATCACGCCAGGCTTCGGTTAAAACCTGGTAGCGATGGCTGTGCCATGGCAGGGCTTCTCTCCTCTGGTGCGCGCTGGCTGGCGTGGCAGGGAGCTGCGGGGAGCTAACGCAGACATGTCTCAGTGCGCGGTACCTGCGCGGCGCGGCACGGAGCCTTCGGTCCCCAGGCGCCACAGCCACTTCACTAACCCCCTGTACCAGAGTGACGCTCAAGTGAATAGTTCCACTGATCACACTCTTTCCTACTGATTAACACTTTCCAACACGACCAGGCATTCCACTTCCAACTTTTCCCGTTTTAAAACAGAAGCAGCCAGCGCCGCTTGCTTCCGCGGGTTATAAACGCCGTCTGGGGCGTGGGGGACACCATAATTAATAGC